AGATGAATTGTTCTAAACACAAATACCCTAGCTGCAAAAGGAAAACGATAATTAAAATGCTAGATGGATGGGGACTTTGAGAAAGCATCTGTCACACATTATTTTATATTCAAACATGAGCTTTGTTAGTATAAACTCAACATAACAAGTATGAAAATAACTTTCTTACCCAAAACAGGATATAATGAAGGGTGCCTGGGGAACTCAGTCTGTTAAGTGTCTGCCTTAGGCTCTGGTCATGATCTCCAGGGCCTGGGATGGAACAGGGAGTCTGCTCCTCCCTCTTCCTCTCCCCCTGTGATGGCTCTTGCTCTTGCTCTCTCAAATAAATTTTAAAAATCTTTTTAAAAAACAGGATATAGTGAATTAAGGTACTCTGTGTTGAAAGTTACTGAAGTACTAATTTGAAAATGGCTTTAAGGTTCAAAATCTAAGTGGAAGCCACAGTAGAAATAATTTTAATGTGGTTTTTTAAAGTAGAGTATCAATACTTTTTTACAACAGATTTTATTGTGAAGCTGCTTTAGAAATTACTTGTTTTTCATGTTTAAATATAATAGTGCCATTGGTAGATAGTGTCTTCAATTTCAGAAACTGGTACAAAATCAAAGATTTTCTGTGTTTGTAACTAGTATTAGTATGTTGGAAGTTTTTCTTTTGCTACTAGATAATCAAGGAAGTTTAGCCTTTATATTTTTGTTCACCTTCATAAGTACATTTATTTTTTGCACATTTATTATTTAAGCTTTGTCAATCAGATATTTAATACGTTGAAAATACTTCATTTGAAAATATCCTATGATAAAATTTTCTAAATGAACTTTTGAAGACCTTATTTTGGTTTGTTAGGTTTTAAGTGAAGTATACCACCAATACTTAAATATGTCTACCTGTTACTTCAGAGTTTTTTTTGTTTTGTTTTTTCTTTAAGTAGGCTCCATACCCAATGTGGGGCTTGGACCCACAACCCTGAGATTGAGAGTCCTTTGCTCTACCGATCAAGCCAGTTAGGCACCCCACTTCAGAATTCTTTAAAGATTTCACTTGTGTGTGGTGCAGTAAAAGTTATTTTATGTAGGCATTTGGACTTTTTCTAGGAAAAATTACTGACCTTGACCTGTAAAAAGAAGGAATCTAATTTCCAATATTTAGTATCTACAGACGTTTTGAAAGAATATTTTTCTAGTTAACTAGAAAAAGTATTACTGGACATTTCTGGATGTGTGTGTGTTGGATTATGTCAGTGTTTCCTACAGTATATCTCAAGTTTGAGGGAAATTAAAGGGTATAAAATTTGGATCATTAGTTGTGGTACAAATTAACCTATTCACTCCTGAACTAATGAGGGGTCTTAAAATTTCCTAAAATTACAGGAACTCTAAAAACTCCTGCTTTTAAAGGTCATGCAGTTTAGTTTGTTGGGAAAACTTAATTTTCTTGACCTCTAGATGCCCATTTCTCCTGTCCCCAAACTTGAACATGAATTGTTGTTTTCTTTAGGCACATAATCAGCTTGAAATAGTATAATGTTATCTTGACTTTGAAGTTAGAGACTCAGAAACAGGAGTTGAGTGTTTGTCCAGGGATACCAAAGATTAGTGATACCTGGCTTACCGGGCAGCTACTACTTTGCTAATGGATTCTGCAGTACAGCTGAAAATAAGAAATAATCACTTAAACAGCCTCTAACCAATCAAAAACAGTGCCACAAAGTCCACAGTAAAGTCATGCACAAAAATTCTCATGGAGAGACCCTCACTCAGAATCTCTGGATTCTTCCTTTAGCATACAATTCCATTTTTAAAAACCTGGTTTCCCAGCTCAATGGAGATTAGAAGCAAAAATTAGAAGGAGATGGGGAGAGAAGCTTTTAAAGACAGGCACACGGCCAACTGTAAGAAGTGACCAATTAAAATGACCACTTAAATTGAGGAAAGAGACACAAAACTGTAAAACACAGACATTCCAAGCATAATAGCCTAGGGTCCTGTAGTGTGAAGGCAAATAAATTCCCCACAAATAAATGTCCCTGGAGGGCATTACTATATTAAAATGTAGTGTGGTATTTGAGCATAATTACTCTGAGTCAGTAAGAAAGGGAAAATTTTATATCCTTTGTTTAAGAAGGTATTTTCAAGGGAAAGATTACTGGAATGGCAGGGCTTAGCCTATAATGTACTTATTTACAAGCAGCTTTTGAAATGGAAATTCAAAAATAATTAAAATACTTTCAGAAGTTTGGCACTAAAAGAGAAGCTTCGTCTCTCTTGAAATTTTATATACAGAACATTTCATTATTTTTATTCCCTGGCAGTGCCAAATCAATTAGGTGTTAATTGTAGTTGTTACAGGCAGATCAGAATTCAGAGCTTTTGACTTTAAGCAGTCTAGTCCAACCCAAGAAGCAGCACTAATTGCCTTTACTTTAGTGTTCGTACATTCTTAGCACCAATTAGAATATTTTCTTAATCATCTTTTAAGGCCTTACCCAGAAAGGAGGCAATACTGCAAAGTATTTTGAGAGTGGACTCTTGTGTCAGACTGCCTGGGGTCTAATTCTGGCCCTACTGTTTACTAGCAGTGCAATTTAAATGACCTAATCTGACCCAAGCCTCAGTTGTTTTGTTGTGTAAAATAAGAAAGGTAATAAAACTACCTCATAGGAAAGTTGTGAGGACAAAAGAAGCTAAAACAAGGCAAGTCTTAGCAAGATTTTGGGCACTTGCTTAATAAATGATGGCCATTGTTTTATTATTATTACAATGCCCCATTAGGAACACTTCCTGTGGGAATACTAAATAATGATTTACTGTTTCTTAGGGTAAAACGAATTGTTCTTTTCTCATCTTGGCACATGATACAAATCATTTTAGCCAACTTCACAAATTACAAATGCGCTTTCACTTTTACTAGATGCCAGTGTTCTATAAATGGTTCAAAAATGTATCACAAAAGAATTCTGTTCTTACAAGCTACGCTGTTAAAAACAATCTTAGGCTGGATAAGCCTAGAAGAAGGTATAGTAGCCTGACATTTTACTGCTAACCAAGACCATAACAACCTTGTAACATTTAAAATGTTTTAAACCTGAGTGTTTTTTTGTTAATAGTTTTTTGTTCAATGGCATCTCAAAATGTAAACCAGATTCCATTTTAATCACTAGCTCAGTATAATCTGATTTTATTCATATTCCCTGTTGGTAAATGGGCTGGAGCTTGACAGCCTGTGGGTTATCTTTTCTGAGTTTCAGAAATTGATCTCAGGCTCCCCACTTCTGACAGTATCTTGGAGAAACTGGCTGAAGCTCACTTGTGAGTTTCAATGAAGCAATTTAAAGCTTCTGAAGAAACTACCACTTAACTGTGCATGCCCCATGTGCTCTCACTTAATCCTTATAGAAGTTCTATGAAGTAGAGTGCTTTTACCCTCTTTACCCTCTTTTACAGAGGAGGAGATTGAAGCTTGGAAAAATTAAATGATTTGATCAAGATCGCACGGAGAGTAAATGGTAGAACATTTAAGCAGGGTCCATATGCTTGAAAGCTCTTGCTCTTTTCACTATGTCCCCTTGGCTCTCAAAAGGAAGTAATAAATTACTCCTTATAGTTTGTAAATGACTATATGTAAAGTCCTGTTAGAACCAAGCTGGAATATTTCCACATATGTCAACAATTGGCCCATAATTTAGATCCTGTGAATCAATGGCTAGAAAGTGCTCTTTATGAAATCTGTTACATAACAGATAAATGTGACTCCCCATTCTGTGTTTTTTTTTCCTTTTTTTGACGGCTAAAAAACCTGGCCAGATTTCTCAAAGTGAGTCTCATGGGGAAGACGGATTTTCTCTTTCTTCTCTTCTCTACCTCATATGGGGCCTACATTTTTTGGGGGGGAGGGGGGCTACATTTTTAAATCTTATTTCCTTTTGCTGCTACACCTCTGAAGCAGGTGATTTTTTTTTCGTAATTGGCATTCAGAATATGTGCTACATAGAAATTCAGACTCCTTCAAGGTTTTTTGTTTTTATGTTCTTTTGATTGCACTTATGTTTTAGACATCCTTTGTTTGGAATCTTTTCTCTCCCTCTCTCTTTTTAAAAAAGATTTATTTATTGGAGAGAGAGTGCACTAGAGTGAGGGGGGCAGGGAGAAGGAGAGAAGCAGACTGCCCTCAGCAGGTTTTGATCTCGCCACCCCGAGATCATCACCTGAATCAAATCTAGAGTCCTAGGCTTAATCTTCCGAGCCACCCAGGCACCCTCTTCTTTCTTTTTTTAAATATCGGAATAGCCTTGGTCTAATCACCTCTGGGTAAAGAGGACTTTGTTACATAGCAGTTTGTTTGCCAGGGAAGCCAAATAATTGGGAATATATTTTTCATTCTTGGAAGTTGTCCTTTGTTAACATGGAATTATATTGTCTAGGCACTACAATTAAATTGTGGGCACTATTTTATATAGCTACTGTTTTGTTTTTGTTTTAAGAGTTACTTATTTTTAGAGAGGGCACATGACCTGGGTGGGGGAGGGGCAGAGGGAGAAGGGGGGAGAGAATGTTTAAGCAAGCACCATGCCCATTGTGGAGCCCTACCATCAAGAACCCTAGTGGGTTCTTGATCTCACAAAGCTGAGATCATGACCCAAGCAGAAATCAAGAGTCAGGCATCCCTAGAATATTTATTCTTAAGAAATTTATTGTGGAAGAACACAAAATTTTATTTACAAGGATGCTTATTATAGTATTCTATGTCCTATGTATCTGAGAAGATGAAAGGTACATACTCAAATCTCTAGATGGTAGGATTATGGATTACTTGTATTTTATTCTCTACTTTTTGTGTTGTCTACATTTTCTATGTGCACAGAAGACTTTTTCCAATCACAAAATGTATAAATGTTTTTTAAAATATGGGCTTTAATAATGTGTCTTTAATAAATGTATAGAAGTATTATCCTTCATGCCTCCACTATTCAACACCTCCTTCCTTTTATTTCTGTACAGGTCTCCAGGAAAGGTTGGAATTTCAACATTAAAGGTAAGTTTTGTTTTCTGAGAGTTATATCTCCACAAATTGTGTACACTTTTCATTCATTTTTCTATTTTATTTTTTTTTCATTTTTCTATTTTATGTAAATCTTGGTTTTCTTTTGTTATTTTTTGCTAAGTAATATTGTCATTGTATCTTACTAGGTGTGATTGTTGTTTCTAAACAAATACTGTGCTACAAGGAAGGGACTGTAAGTTTTTTAGATTTCCACTAATTTTGTTTTTATAATTTTTAGAATAGAAGAATACTATAAAATATGTGTGTATGTTAATTGAAAAAGTAATATTTGCATGACAAAAATGTGGAATAACCAAAAACTTGTATACTTCTTATGGGCACATGCTTTAGTATCATTACTATATATAAAAATCAATCCCAGCCTTATCTCCAAGCAAAGGAGTTTGGTATTGAGATGTTATGCTACGGAAAGCCATTTTAAGTCCATGAATATCATCAAACAGAACTATTTACATCAAATAGAGTATATATTGTATGTGTATGTTTGTGTATGACTATATATAATGTATGTATAATCTCAAACGTGCTGTATTTTTTTAGTGTCCCTACTTTCTGTTTATACACGTTGGATATTCATCTCTCTGATACATTGTGGTGTGTTCATGTGGCATATATTCTATAGCAGTAGATATGAATGAATTGATTATATACAATGACATAGATGGATTTCAGCACCATAGTGTTGGGTGGGGAAAAAACAAGTCACAGTAAGATACATACAGTAAGATTCCATTTATATTAAGATCAGAAACATGCAGAACGAAATAATGTGTTGTTTAGAGATAGAAGCACAGAGTATAAAGAACAGCAAGGGAGTGACAAACACAAAGTTGAAGGTATCAGTCATGTCTGAGGGAGAAAGAATATAATAAAAATGGAGGAGGATATGCAAGAGATTGAAAGCTAATGATAATTTTTTTCTTAAACTGAGTACTTAAGATTAAATCATAATTCTTCATTCCTTGTATTTTATAAAAGTTCTCTTGTATTTGATAAAAACAATTTTTATAAATAATGCATGAACATGGTTAAAATTGGCGCAGTACAAAAAAGTAGATGGTTGAAAATGTAGCTTCCCTCTCATTCCTCATTGTCCACCTCCCAATCCCCATATCCAGAAATGATTGCTGTTTATGCCTGTAGGTTTTTAAAGCCACTTAGCTCTAAGATATTTATATTGGTTCTAAGAAATAGGTTTGTGAAATTTACTTTATCTCAGTAATTATAGATTGTGCTTAACTTGAATAAAATTAGATAGAAAATATACATATTTAGTAAATAAACACAAAGTTGGATATTGTTATTTACTTCTGAAATAATCATAGATTACAAGAAGCTGCAAATGTAATTTAGAGAACTCTTATATATCCTTCATCCATTTCACCCAGTGGTTATGTCTTAATTATAGTACAATATGAAAACCAGAAATTTGACATTGGTACAATATGAGTATATGGTTTTGCTTCAGTTTACTACATATGTATATTTGTATAACTACCACCACAAGATGCAGATCTATTTCATCACCACAAAGATATCTCTTGTGCTACCCTTTTATAAATTCACACCCACTCCCTCCCTCACATCATCCCTAAACCCAGACAGCCACTAAGCTGTTTTCCATTTCTGTAATGTTGTCATTTAAGAATATCCTATAAATGCAGTCATATAGTGTGTGACCTTTTGAGACTGCCTCAAAGGATTGAGATCCAAGTTGTTGCATGCATCAACAGTTTATTCCTTTTTATTGTTAAATAGTGGTCTGTAGCATGAATGTACTCAGACTCTTGAGTGAATATCATGTATAACAGCATATCTATTGATATTTTAAGCAATCCAAAGAAGAATTTGGTTTAGTCCTGATTTTGATGATTTTACAGTCTCACAGAAGAGAGATGTATACGAGATATTGGTGTTTGTAGAATAGAATAGACTTCTAAGTGCTCCAAGGAGTTTGGGGGGGATAAAACAATAGGAGAGCATGGGTACCTGGAATAGAAGAGAAAAGTTTCAGGGAGGAGGTAGAACTTGTGCTGGGCTTTGAGCAGTGGAAGAGATCTGCATAGGCAGATAGAGAAAAATTGGGAAAGCATTGTATGTTAGGCAATAGTATGAGCTCATTAATATGCAAAGGTATAGAATTTGCTGGGAGCATTGAAAGACTGCTGTGACCTATATAAATGTTTCAGCAGTGAAATGATGGAAAAGTGAGGTGGGGGCAGATTTCAATGAACTTTGAATGTCAGCTTAAGAACTCTGGGCTTTAGGGATCCCTGGGTGGCTCAGTCAATTAAGCATCTCCCTTCGGCTTATGTCACGATCCCAAGGTCCTGGGATCGAGCCCCACATCAGGCTCCCTGCTCTGTGGGGAGTCTGCTTCTCCCTCTCAGCTGCTCCCTCTGCTTGTGCTCTCTTTCTGTCAAAGAAATAAATTTTAAAAAAAGAACTCTGAGCTTTGGGGCACCTGGGTGGCTCAGTTGGTTGAGCATCCAACTCTTCGTTTCAGCCCATGTCAGGATCATAGGATCGAGTCCCACCTCCAGCTCTGCATGAAGTCTGCCTGTCCCTTTCTCCCTTGCCCCCCCCGCTTTCAAATAAATACATAAAATCTTTTTCAAAAAACTCTGAGCTTTAAAATTTTGAAGCAAGATATTTTATTTATTTTTTAAAAGATTATTTGCTTATTTATTCATAGAGACACAGAGACACACACAGAGAGAGAGAGAGAGGCAGAGACACAGGCAGAGGGAGAAGCAGGCACCATGCACAGAGCCTGACCTGGGACTTGATCCAGGGTCTCCATGATCAAGCCCTAGGCTGCAGGCAGCGCTAAACTGCTGCGCCACCGGGGCTACTTGAAGCAAGATATTTTAAAAGTCAATTTTTATCTGTCTTACCAGTTGTGCTCTTCAGAGTTTTTTTTTTTCTGAGGAATTAACTAAAGGTATGGAATGGAAGGGTGGGAGATGGTTTGGAGGCAAGAGACTAAGTGCACAGAGAATGGTTAAGAGGCAGTTAGAAGGTCAAGACTTGAACAAAGGGATTGTGTTGATAGGAATCAGTGGACTGATGTGGCCATTATTTAACAGTTGTTTCTTGGTGGTGGTGGGTTTTTTCTCCCCCTCTTCTTAGCAAAAGAGAGTAGAGATCACATCTCTATAAAGTGTATTTTAAAATGTCACTTTAGGGGCACCTGGCTGCTTCGTCAGAAGAGCATGTGACTCTTGATCTAAAAGTCATGAGTTCGAGCCCCACTTTGGGGGTAGAGATTACTTAAAAAAAACACAATAAACTTTAAAAAGTAAATAAATACGTAAAATTTCACTTTGGTCACTGTTAATAGTTTCCCCTTCCTCACTAGTAAAAACTAGAAGTGACCTGAATTTTTAAAAAACTGACATTTTTAGCTCACTGTTCTTTAGTAGATAATAAGATTTCCCTGAGTGTAGATTACTTTTGTGCAACTTATTTGTGAAAATGATTAGTCTTTTGGATGTGCTTATTAAAATTCAAAAGCTCAAACTGTAGAACTGAATACTCTGGAAAGTACAGGCTGTTCTCTAATATCCAACAGAGATGGAGGGAGACAGTGGTCTGAATTGCTAGAAATTGAATGATCCTACCATACTTCTATTGTTTTAAAGATTTTATTTATTTGAGAGAGAGAGAGAACACACTTGGTGGCAGTGGCAGGCCGGGCAGAGGGAGAGGGAGAAGCAGACACCTACTGAGCAGGAAGCCTGACAGACCTCTATCTCAGGACCCTGAGATCATGACCTGAGCTGAAGGCAGATGGTTAACCAACTAAGCCACCCAGCCTCCCCCCCCATACTACTTAAGGAAGTATATTTTTGGGGTTGTGATAGAAATGGGTTAAAGAAATGGCCTGATGGTGGGAAGGTGGGATTTGGTAGGCCTCATGCTTTAGTAATGGGGCAGTCCATCTCCAGAAGGAGGTAATAAATGAGGAGTGTCTGAAGTCTGAGTTGGTATTGTCTGCAGGCATATTCTTGGCTTCCATTGCTTTACCTCCACAGCCTGATCAAGGTGCTAGGGGAAGGACCTGGACCTTTGACATCACTGAGAGAGGATCATAGATGACTATATATGTACTAAATCAAGTTTTACTAAGAAATCTTGATTAATTTCTCTAGAGATTAGATCCTCTGGTAGGTGCCATATCACTCCATCAAACTTGTGACTTAACCACAGTTTACCTTACAGAGCTTGATACCTTTCAAAGGTTCAAAGTCCAGGAAAGTTTTGTTGAAGCCAAATAAAATGAAGTCTAATCACTGCTTGGCAGTTTTGATCAATGTGAGAATGTTAATCCGTGATGGTTTTAAGTACTTAATTCAAACAAATTATATTGAGGTAGAGGAATTAGTAGTGTGCATTTTTGCTTAGGTTAACTTAAGGAACATACCCATGGAATTAATGTTGTATAGTACTTCTGATTTTCCTACTAATGAACAGTTATTGGAGGATAATTGGATAAATATACTTAATTCGTAAGATAATTACAGGTGTTTCTCTAATATGCATTAACTGTTCTTAAAGACTATCAGCTTTCAAGTATTCTCTCTCCATCTTGTCAAGATTATCTTACTAACTGGTTCTGATTAGAGTTCTTTTTCTTTTAGTTTAAAACCAGGATTTGATTAAAGGATATATAAACTTAAGATACGTGTATTTACTGAAGAAAAGCCAGAGCCATGCGTTATTCAACATTCATTTAGCAAATAATTACTTTTGCCCAGCACTCTTTAGGTATTAGGTATATAGTGGTAGATGGAACAAAGGCCTTGATCTCATGAAGCTTACATTCTAGTGGGGCAGGGAAGAGACAAAAGAATAAGCAAGTAAATGGTCATTTCAGGTGGTAATAAGTACAATGAAGAAACAAAATATAGATAATGTGATAGAAAGTTAAGCAGGTAAGGCTGTTTTAAGGTGGTGAGGGAAGGCTTTTCTTTTTTTTTTTAATTTTTTTAAATTTTTATTTATTTATGATAGTCACAGAGAGAGGGAGAGAGGCAGAGACATAGGCAGAGGGAGAAGCAGGCTCCATGCACCGGGAGCACGATGTGGGATTCGATCCCGGGTCTCCAGGATCGCGCACTGGGCCAAAGGCAGGCGCCAATCCGCTGCGCCACCCAGGGATCCCAGGGAAGGCTTTTCTGATGTGATAATGCTTGAGTTATCACCCTAAAGATGGTAAAGAATCATCTGATTGGCCAAAGTGTGAATGTGGGGTTGTGGTGGACAAGGGAAGTGAGAAATGTAGATGAGGTCAAAGATGTAGGCCCTCATGGGTAGTGATAGAGTTTGGATTTTACCTGACACTGAAAATTCCATGAAACAGCTTTTCAGCTTGAAGATACCAGAAGTACTACAGAAATTTCTCTAGCACATTAAATCTTTAGCATTATACTGATCTGGAGTAATTTTATCACAGTACCTGTCATGGTCATATCCTAATACTTGTATAAGTGCTACCTTGATACTTAGATACATCGTTATGTGCCTTAGGTTGCTTATCTGTCAAAAATGGTTATTATGAACCTTCTCTAACTCTGTGATGTGTACCAAAAATTATGAAAAGTTTTTTTCTCAGTATCATTAGTAGCATTCAAATTGCTATATTTATATAAACATAATGACAATTTAGGATGGAGATGAATACTGTTTATATTTGCAAATGTGTAATTGTCTTATTTTACTAGAATTTTTTTCCCAGCAGAAAATCTGTATCCCTCTCTACCTTCTCTAACCTCCCAAATATATATATATATGTACGTATGTGTATATGAATGTATACGTAGATATATATGTATTTTTGGTGGGTTTAATTTTTTTCATCATTTATTGCGGAACTTTAACTTCTGATTGTCTTGATTCCTTTCATCTAAAGCATGTAGTATTTTTAAGAAAACTATTCTCTGAATGTGATTTTCTGTATTATGTACTTTTATATTTATGTGTATTTATGGAGCAATACTATGGGAAAGATAGCAATCCTGATTCAACCCTTTGCTTTAAGTCCTTCATCTTTTTAAGCTACAAAGGTAGTTGGTGGTTTTTATCTTCCTGTACAATTTTTAATATTAAAAAGATGGGCACATTTATGGGAAAATAATCTATTGCTATAGAAATATAGAAAATTGCTGATTCGTAGCCTTATGCAAATCACATTATCCCTGTTGGCATAAAATATCTGGGCATCTTTCCATATACAAACATCTAAGCTCTTCATGGACCGCTGCTTTATTAAGGTTATGTTTTCTAATTTGTACCCATCTTAAAAAGAATTTTAAAGAAAAAGTGTCATCATTTGATCTGTTTCTTTTCTTTTTAATATAGGAAACTGAGAACACTGCACACAAAGTTGGAAATGAGTCTCCTGTACAAGAACTGAAACAAGATGTGTCTAAAAAGGTTGGTAAGATACAATGTCAGTATTGGTTTAACAGATGTCATATACATATGGTATATTTAAAGTGGAAAATTTTCTATATTTTTTGTAGTGCAGTATACTTGGTGGATATTCACTAAATGTTCCTTGAATCTTCAATTGGAGATTGAAGACACATCACGCTTTTTAGAGGTCATTTCATAAACAAACTAATTGATAATTTTTCCTTGAAACAGTATTTTGAAAATTGTTTTGTAATGTATTTTGATTTTTTATGCTTTCATTTTTATTAGAATAAGCTTTAGCTATCTTTTTAAAAGATTTTATTTATTCATGAGAGAGAGAGAGAGAGAGGCAGAAACACAGGCAGAGCCCAAAGCAGGACTCGATCCCCAGAACCCGGGATCATGCCCTGAGCACAAAGCAGGTGCTCAACCGCTAAGCCACCCAGGGATCCCTAAGCTGTAGCTATTCTTGAGGTAACTACCAAGAATTAAAGGTATTGAAAGGCTCAGTGCAGCAAATTCTGATGCCTTTAAGAGTTAGAGGTTACACAAAGTCATTACTCTAATAGTGCCTTTGATACCTTTTAAAAATTTGATTCTTTAAAGCTTCAGAGTTTGGTTTACTAGAAGAAACTGAGCACAAGATAAAAATTTTGACAATGAGTAGTTGACAGTATCAGGATAAAATGGGAGGAGAAAGGATACTATGTGTTCATTCAGTTCTCCTACTTGTGAGTATTTTCTGTACCCCTGGCTCTGTTCTGGCTGGTGGGTTTCCAGAGACCAGCAAAATGACGCATTCTCTATCCTAGAGTTTCTCAATAGTGACACTTTGGGCTGAATAAGTTTTAATTCTGGAGGGAAGGAGAGACGTTTCTGTGCATTGTAGGGTATTTAGCTGCATCCCTGGCTTCTACCCACTAGACATCAATAGATTCCTCCCTACTTGCACCCTATCATGACAACTAAAAATATCTTACATACATCACCAAATGTCTGGGGAGGAGTGCTGAGCAAAATCACCCTTGATGAGAATCCATTGTTCTAACCTTATGTAATTTATAATTTTTTTAGAAGATTTTATTAATTTGACACAGAAAGAGCATAAGCAAGGGGAGTGGGGGAGAGAGAAGCAGGCTTCCCGCTCAGCAGGGAGCCCAGTGCAAGGCTCGATCCCAGGACCCTGGGATCATGATCTGAGCCAAAGGCAGATGCTTAAACAAGTGAGCTGCCCAGGTACCCCGGAATTTATAAATTTAATGGACTCCATATTTTAAGTGTATTTTATTTTATTTATTAGAGAAGGAGGGAGAAAGAGAGGAGGAGCATAGAGCAAGAATCTTAAGCAGGCTCCTTGCCCATCATGGAGCCTGTCCTATAACCCTGAGATCATGATCTGAGCCAAAATCAGGAGTCCGATGCTGAACTTACTGATCCACCCAAGTGCCCCCAGTGAACTCTCTATTTTAATATTGATCATACTTTTTTCCCTCAAAAGGATTTTTTTTGGAGAGAAATGGTATTATTGTATATCAGCATAAATAAGGGAACAAAAGTAGTAACCAGTTTTTTCTTTTTAAATCAGAATAGCCCATAGTTCTCACTGTAACAAACAGCTATCTTAATTTTTCAGCTTTGCTTTCTGGTTCTCACTCATTTGCATGATTTTGTTTTGTTTTGTTTGTCTAATAATAGTGTAAATAGAATTCTATATTTTACCTTTTCCTCTTACCATCATTAGTTTTTATTGTATTTCTACAGTTTCAATACTCAGTTTTCATTTGATGTTTCAGTTTTCTATGAAGCAAATATATTACAATGTATCTAGTTATTCTTATTGTTGAAAACTTGAAATGTTTCTATTTTTTCCACTAGTTTTCCTTTTCAAGAATTTTTTCTTAGGATACAAATGGGTAACTAATAGTGGCCAATAAAGGTAATTTTTAAGGAGACTTTAGAAACTGAAAAAATAGTAAACACTATGGAGCAGCTGAGTGAAGCTTAAGACTAGGTCTCACTTTTTAAGTTGTAGTCTTTTCAGTTGATTTAAGTATCACATACGAATGATAAAAGCTGTGGGAATATACAGTGCACCAGACAAGACAATCCCTTTCCCCAGTAACTTACATTTTAGTAGAAGAAATTAGTTAAATACAAAACTGACTGTAAAATGTGTTCATATAAACTTACAAACTATAAGGGCAGAAAGAGAGCCTTTACTTCCTGCTTGAAGATAGGAATGGGGATCCCTTCAGTGAAGGGATAAGGGATTGGGGAAGACTTGTGATTTTTAAGCTCATTTTAACCCCTTTTCTGGTATTAGCATTTCCATTATGCATAATGATTATTCCAGACCTTAATAGTCACCTCATGCCCACTGTGCCCACTAGTACCCTGCTTGCTTTCAAAAGCAGATAACCTTGTTTCCTACCACATATAGACAATAAAGACTAAGAAGCCTGAATTTACTCCTTTTCATCTGCTCTCACTTCCCTTACCTGCAGACTTGTTTTCATCTTTTGCCTCTTTTTCATGTCTGAGAACTTATTATCTTCCTGTCCAAAGTAGCATGGTATAATATAAAAAACACTGGATTTTTGAGAAAAATCTGGATTTCAGTTTTGACCTTGTAGTTTACTAGCGGTGGAACCTTGGACAAAATTCTTAATGCCTTTACCTCAGATTCTTGTTTTTGTAGGAGGGAGATAATCTAGCTACCTCAAGGCCTGTGCAAAGATTAAATGGAAAATATGTGTACTGGTCTAATACACAATAGTCCTCTTTCCTTTCTTCTCCAGAACTTTATCTAACTCTACCGTTGGCTCCTTCCCCTCAGCTTGTAAAAATGCTGGGTCACTTTCTTGCAGCCTCTTCCATTTATAGCCAAGCTTTTTGAAAACATAGATTGTGCTATCTCTGTGTTGTCACTCTTACTCATTCTTAAACCCACTGGCTTCTGTTATCACTAAGGTAGTCAGTGCTCAGTAACCACCTAGTTGACAAAGTAGGTGGACTCTAGTTAATATTCCTCTGGTCAAAGTATGATTAAGACTAGGATAAAAATTGGAAGGTTGAGGAAAAATTAATATGTGGACTATGCTGAGATATCAGGGAGAAATATTATTGAGCAGCAGTCATATCCAGCTCAGGTCTACATGTATTTGTGGTAAGCCAGATCAGGATGGCTCTGTTACACGTTCTGTTAACTTTTTGGAGCCAAGGAATTGAGAAAGCAGAAATCATCCATTGTAGGGCATGGTGGACAGATAGGTGGACTGGGAGATATTGTGTTGTAATAATGATAGTACTGGGTAGAAAATATCTTTTATTTTAAATGTTGGTAGAAGTTATAAAAACCCTGTCTATATTTTTCAGCTACAGAAAAGAAGTAAAAGGGGGAGGGGATCCCTGGGTGGCTCAGTGGTTTAGCCACCTGCCTTTGGCCCAGGGCGTGATCCTAGAGTCCCGGGATCGAGTCCCACATCAGGCTCCCTGCATGGAGAGCCTGCGGGGTTCACACAGCCCTTTGCCTATGTCTCTGCCTCTCTCTGTGTGTGCCTCTAACAGAGGGAGAAGCAGGCTCCATGCGGGGAGCCTGATGTGGGACTCGATCCTGGGTCTCCAGGATCACGCCCTGGGCTGAAGGTAGGCACTAAACCACTGAGCCACCCAGGGATTCCAATAAATAAAATCTTTTTAAAAAAAGAAGTAAACGGGGGAAAAGGCAAGGTGAGCTGAGTTTTTGAACTCTTGTGGTTCTGCCATTTCGATGAATAGTGGAGCATTTGGTATAGTTTAAGAATGTTAACCTCTGAGGCACCTGGGTGGCTCAGTGGTTGAGCCTTTGGCTCAGGTCCTGATCCCAGATCCTGGGATCAAGTCCCGCATTGGGCTCCTTGTGAGGAGTCTGCTTCTCCTTTTGCCTATGTCTCTGCCTCTCTCTTTGTGTCTCATGAAAAAATAAATAAAATCTTGAAAAAAAAAATGGATGTTAATCTCCCTGCATCTCCTAGCTTTTTTTGTCATAGGCTTGAGTTCAGAACTAAACAATTCGAATTCTTGTGCTAGGTGGTTTTAATTCTCACAGTTTTGTTAACTAAAGCAGCAGGTTGTTACTGCAACTAACTTGGCATAAATATGTAAATGGACAAGGATATGAAGAGTCTGAATGTAAATTTAGGTTTGATCTTTTATTTTACGGGGTTGGTTGAACTTTTGTGATTATACATACTAACAGATTCCCTATTATAATGGTTAAGAGAACAGATTCTGGAACCAAACTCCTGGGATTTTTGCCAGCTTCATCACTTACTCGCTGTGTGTCCTTGGACAAATCACTTGATCCCTCTATGCCTTTGTTCCTTCATTTGTGTAATGATGATATTAAGAGTGCTAACTCATATGGTTATTGTAGAGATTAAAAAAAGTAAAGTGCTAAGAACAGTACATTCCCAGGGCACATAGTAAGTACTATGTAAATGATTAGCTGTTATTATGTTCTTGTAAATAGCTTCATTTTTTTAAAAAAACTGCTTTTTAACCTTTCATCAGATTATTGAAAGTATTATTGAGGAGAGTCAGAAAGTACTACAGCTGGAAGATGACTCCTCAGATTCCAAAGGAAAAAGACACTCTGATCAGGCTACTGCCAGTTCTATTGTAGCTGGAACAGATCTTAGCAATATACCTGGACTGTTAGCCATAGATCAAGTACTACAGGAAGATTCCAAAGAAGCAGAAAGTCAGAATGCAATTGAAGAAACTGAATTAGAATCAAAAAGATGTTTTCCTTCTGATGACATCTATGAGAAGTCAGTAGATGAAATCACTAAGTTAACTGAAATAGGTTCAACTGAGCAGCATAATGTGCCTGCAACTGAAACAGAAGTATTGAACAAGGAAGCTGTGGAAGCCAAAGGAAGTGATGTTCTAGAACCCATGTCCTCAAACTCTTTATCTACTAAAGATTTTGCTGCCATGGAAGAAGTGGCTCCCGCCAAACCCCCAAGACAGCTTACTCCAGAACCTGACATTGTGGCAAGTACAAAGAAGCCTGTTCCAGCACGCCCTCCCCCTCCAACTAATTTCCCACCTCCTAGACCCCCACCTCCATCTCGACCTGCTCCACCACCAAGAAAAAAGAAAAGTGAATTGGAGTTTGAGGCCCTTAAAACACCTGATCTAGACGGCAAGTATTTAATTGAGAAATAACTTGTGGAGAGATTTTGGAGTTGAAGCTATTTGACTTTTTGGTTTTATTTCAGTTATGCTATATACAACCATGTTGATGACCATGACCAAGTTATAAAAGTTATTTTAGTAATAAAAAGAGAAAATGTTTACATTGGTAGTAAGTTACATTACTATGTTTGAACATTTTAGTAGACTTCAAATTTTCAAATCTGTTACCATTGGAAACTTAAGATCTGAATTCAAGACATAGATCTCTTCGTGTATAAGTTGTATAGCTTTGAGAAATTGAAATAACTTGTTTGAATCCTGGTTTCATCATATATAAAATGAGAGTAATAAAACCACTTTCCTCATGGGATTGTTGTAAGAATCAGACAAAGGTTAAAGCACTTTCAAGCTCTATATAAGGTTCCAAATATAAATACTAGTTATTGCCATTATCATCATCATCATTATTATCATCATCGTCATTGCAGTTCCCAAAGAGAATATTACATCTGATACTCTCCTAAGTACGAACATGGCTTCAGAGAATACAGTCAAGGATTCTCAACCTTCTCTTGACTTGGCAAGTGCTACCAGTGGAGATAAAATAGTTACTGCCCAGGTTGGTAAATTCATGTTATATTTGACATAGGCTTTAACAACTTTCCACGGCTGGCTGGTTTGTTGCTTGTTGAACCTTCCTTCTTCTCCAGGCGGAATATTTCTTTGTCCTTAAACCTGGCCTTCTTATATCCCCTTTCTAGCTCTGCTACTACATAGCTAGGTGATTCTAACGAACTATTTAATATCTGACTTTCAGATGTCCCTTTGATAAAAGGGGACAGCCTTCCTTGAAGATGTTTTGTAAGGATGAAATGAGCTATGCCAAGTACATGGCATGTAGTAGGCAATATAAAAAAAGGAAGATGCTGCTATTTGTAATATTATTATAATGTTAATAAGCATCAACTACAGTCTTCATTTACCTGACCTATGGTGGTCAAAATTGAGGACTTTTATTTATAATTTCCTTTACCTGATTATGAAAAAAACATTCATAAACTACGTTATATATCCATATGGAGGCAATAGAAAGTACCTGATAGCATGAATTTTACCATAGCCCAATTTCTGGGACTCAAGGCTTACTTGTGTGGTAGCTGTGGTTGGGACAGGTTAGCAGACTGGGAGATATGCCACTTCAATCTTGTGATAGCTTTAGAGCAGAGACTGGCAGTAGCCTGTCTTTGTAGGGTCCCCGAGCTAAGAATGGTTTTTTCATTTTTAAGGGATTGTAGGGGGGAAAAAAGAATACATGATAGACATTACATGTGAAACAGAAAGCCTAAAATATTTACTATCTTGCTCTTTATAGAAAAAGTTTGCCAATCCCTGCCTTCGAGATAAGCACAAGTATAGTCCTGATTAATGTCAGTCTTAGTGCTGGCATTCTGGTAGTAGAGAACTGCTTTTGGGTCAGGTTCAAATAGAACATTTATTTGCTTTCAAATACTAAGACATTATTTCATGGGCAGCAGTGGTTTTGATACTTAATGTTTTTCAGCATGCTGGGAATAATAAAAGACTGAAATGGAGTGTTTCATTTAAATTTTCAGTAGGCTCCATTATGTGAATTATGGAATTCTTTAGAACTGTGTGTGGTAATGAATAATTGAGTGTTTATAAAAATTGACTCAGTCTACTTTCTGTTTATAAAATTGTAATTTTAGGAAAATGGAAAAGCACCTGATGGGCAGACTGTAGCAGGTGAGGTGATGGGCCCTCAGAGACCTAGATCCAACTCTGGAAGAGAGCTTACTGATGAGGTATAATTAGATTTTATTTTTGTTCTTAAAAACATAAAATATAAAAATCATAATGAGAGGATGAAAAAATTCTCAAGATGAATGGTAGTGATGGTTGCACAGCATTGTTAATGTGCTTAATACCACTGAATATACAACTAAAAATATTTTACCATGATTTTAAAAAAATTTAAAGTTTAATGCTGTTAGGCAAAAAAATGTAGAAGAAAAAATGAAAATTGATTTTCTTAGTTTTTAGAAACATTTTTATTGTTTTATCTATTTTTTTAAAATATTTTATTTATTTATTCATGAGAGATACAGAGAGAGGCAGAGACACAGGCAGAGGGAGAAGCAGGCTCCCTGCGGGGAGCCTGATGTGGGACTCGATCCTGGAACCCCAGAATCATGCCCTGAGCCAAAGGCAGATGCTCAACTGCTGAGCCACCCAGGTGTCCTTGTTTTATCTATTTTTAAGTAAACTCTACACCCAGCATGGAGCTCAAACTCACAACCCCAAGATTAAGAGTCCCATGCTCTACTGGCTAAGCCAGCCAGCAACCCCAGATTTTTTTTTTTGAATATTCTGGAGTTTGCAACTCTAACTTAAACTTACCTTTTTATACCATTATGTGGTATTGAAAACAAGGTCCAAATTTAATAGAAGGTAGGCTTAAAAAGAACTTGATGTTATATTTATATGTTTTTATACTTGCTAAGTGATGCACAGTATACAGACAAAGTGCTTACTTCTTACCATTAAAATTTAGTATATATCAATTGGCCAGTTTACTCCAAATAAAGTTTTGATGCAAAATCTTATTTTTCATATCTTTTTTTCTTTCTTTTTTAAAGATTTTTTTATTTTTAAGTAATCTCACCCAATATGGTGCTCAAACTCAACCCCAAGACCAAGGGGCACATGCTCCACCAACTGAGCCAGCCAGGTGCCCCAGTTTTCATTTCTTTTTTTTTCTTTTTTTTTTTTAGTTTTCATTTCTTTTAAGCAATATATTTTTAAAAATTATTATACTTTGGAAAACAGTGTGGCAGTTCCTCAAAATATTAGACATTGAATTACCATGACCCAGCAATTCCATTCCTATGTATACTATGTATATACCAGATAGAAATGAAAATATATGTCCACACAAAAAATGTACACAAGTATTCATAATAACCAAAGTGTGGAAACAACACAAACATTCATCACCCATGAATGGATAAATAAAATATGGTATATCCAAACCACATGGATTGTTTTTTGGAAATTAAAAGGAATGAAATTCTGACACATGCTGCAAAATATGGATGAACCTTAAAAACCTGGTGCTAGGTGAAAGAAGCCAGTCACAAAAGACAAACATACAAGATGATTTGATTTATATGAAATGTCTGGAATAGGCAAACCATAGAGACAAAAAGTAGATTAGTCAGTGCCAGGGGATGAGAGGAGAGGAAAATGAGGTGTGGCATTTAATGGATATGGAGTTTCTTTTTGAGGTAGTGGAAATGTTCTAAACTTAAAGGTAATCGTTGCACAACTCTGAATTTACTCGAAATCATTGAATTATACACTTTAAATGAGTGCATTTTTCAGTGTATGAATTGTATCTCACTAAAGTTAAAAATTATTGTACACAGTACTAAATATATCTAGAAAGTCCTTAGCTTAATTGAGAATTTTGCAGACTCAAAAAGATAATTAAATTATAGGTCCCCTTGGTGTTATTTTTATTTATCTCAGGAAATTTTAGCCAGTGTCATGATTAAGAACCTAGATACTGGAGAAGAAATACCTTTGAGTCTTGCAGAAGAGAAACTGCCAACAGGTATTAATCCTCTCACTCTACACATCATGAGAAGGACTAAGGAATATGTAAGGTATGGCCTATTGTTATTATTTATCATTTGTAATATTTCAGAGTGGTGAAGATTTCTGTGTTTATGAACTATAGCAGTCCCTAATTTGATTTCATGCAGTCTTCTTTTGTAAAATTTGGATTTAAAAGAGTTAATATATGAATTCTTCAATATTCTCTCTTAAGACCATAAAGTTTCTTGAGGAAAATAGAATATCTCTTGAATCTCATAGTATTTTGTTTCACTTTTAAAATGATTTATATAATACTAGAGACATTATTGAAACATATTGAGGGTAAAAAGCCATGTGGAATGAAGACCTGGTTTTCTAAAACCTGGCTTTAAGTACTACAAATTTTATAAGTAATTGTATTATCTTTGTAGGCTAGAAAATGACTTTACAGTGCAATGATTGACTGAGATGTATGTAGATCAAAGAAGTGATTATTATGAAAGTAGTTCTTAATAAAGTGTAATACATGATGTGCCTGAAAAGCAAAGAGGAAGTTAATTTGTCATTTCTGTGCAGCATGTTTTGTCCAGCAAGAAGCCTTGTTGGTAGTAGGTTTTCCATAAGTTCCTAAATTGCTTTCACTTGCATTTTGTACATTATACCATGCTTAAAGATTCTATTCTTTGACCTTTCACTTCTTACAGTCTCAGGATCATTATTAAAATTAAACTTCTATAAAGTATGTTAACATAGTTTTTTTTCTTATTCTGAGTACCTGAGTATATAGTAAATATATAGTAAATATACATAGAGATTGTTGAGAGGTGTAGGGGGAAATGGCTTCTTTTAAAATGACTTCCTCCCCCTCTTGTAGTAATGACGCAGCACAGTCAGATGATGAAGAAAAGTTACAATCTCAGACAACAGATACTGATGGTGGAAGGTTAAAACAGAAAACGTGAGTTACAGTACATTCCTTTTCTTTATTTCAAGCTTTTATTTAAAAAATAAGAGAATTGCCATACTATTTTAAGTCTGTGCTCTATCTAGTTTATATGTCCATCTACCACCACCATTTCCTGTTCCCAGGAACAGGAGTTGCTTGAGGCTATATTGGTGGTCATTTTTATAGCATTTGACAAATAGTAAATGATCAATAAATTTTTCATCATGCCTGTATTATTTTTCTGATGGTAGGGACCAGAAATGTTAGTAGAACATGATTATTCTTGACATTGCTTTCAAATCCAACTAAACAATTTTCCATACTACTCCAGTTCATGGTAAATTTCCTTTTCTCAATTTCAATGACACCTACAGTCTACATAAATTACATTTTACCTTTATTTTATGTTATCTTAATGTGTTTTCTGATTTTTTTTAAAGATTTTATTTATTTGAGAGAGACAAACAGCACAAGCAGGGGGAGTGGCAGAAGGAGAGGGAGAAGCAGACTCCCCTGCTGAGCAGAGTGCCTCACACAGGGCCCTATCCCAGGACCCTGGGATCATGACCTGAGCCAAAGGCAGATGAGTCTAAGGCCCAAAAGCAAATTCTTCACTATAGTCTGATCTTTCCTTAGTATGGGAAGTGTATCAAAGAAAGCATTGAGAACTCTCAGAAAAGATTTACCCACAATGCATGTAACAACCCAGGCACCTCTTATATTAATTTTTAAAATGGTTTATCATCTGTGTTTTTTTATTATCAAAACTTATACAAGGATGCCTGGACGGGTTGGAGCATGCAACTCTTGATCTCAGGGTTGTGAGTTTAAGCCCCATCTTAGGTATAAAGATTCCTTTAACAACAAGAACAAAAAAACTAATACAGAAATATGGAAAATGAAAGTCTCCTCATCCAGAAATAACCAATGTTAATAATTAGGTGTATTCTGCCTAGAATTTTTTTCCTCACAAAAGCAGGATTAATACTGTGCCTATAGTTTATTGGCTTGCTTTATTTGCCTTTTTTCAAAAGTAAGCTCCATGTTCAACATGGAGATCAAGAGTCACATGTTCTGCTGACTGAGCTAGCCAGGTGCCCCTATCAGCTGGCTTTTTAAAAATATCTGGTTTGTAAAAAAAAAAAAATCTGACTTGTAATGAACATCTCTTTATATCAGTACCAATAATAAATATATTGTAGCCTTTCTATCAGCCAGATATGGGAATTCAGTGCTGCAGATACAATAGTTAGGACAAATGTAGTCCCTGCCTTCCTAGAGCTCCCAGTTAAGTAGGAGAAACATAAATCTAACTACATTTGTAGTAATTGCAATAAAAGAAATGTATGGGGTACTGTGGGAGTAGAAAACAGGAAAATCTGCTCTAAAGAGTCAAGGAGGGGGGAACCTGGCTGGCTCAGTTGGTGAAGCATCTGCCTTCAACTCAGGTCATAATCCCAAGTTCTGGGATCAAGCCCTGTGTGGGGTACTCTTCTTCTTTCTCCCTCTCCCTCTGCTGCTTTCCCTGCTTGTGCTCTTGTGCTTTCTCTCCCCCCACCACTGCCCTCCCTTCTCTCTCTCAAATAAATCAATTAAAAAAAAAAAAGATTTGAGGGCTTTTTTTGAGAAGTAACTGTTTGGTCCAAGACCTAAAAGATGAGTAGAAATTAACCATGGGAGGAATGTTCCAGGCAGAAATAACATGGCATTGGCCCCAAGATGACTAAGAACTTGGTACATTTGAAGAACTGAGGTTTGCCTCATTTATTTTATTGCATTCCATTGTAAGAATATACTGGCACTTATTCATTCCTCTGTTGATGAAAACTCAGTTTTTCTCTACTTTTTATGCCTTTTTCCCCTACTTTTTATGTTTTGTAAATGTGGCAGTGAACATCTTTCTATATATGGCTTAGCAACTCTTTCAAATACTACCCTTTAACATCATGAGTTCCATGAATTGGTAAAAATTGCCTTCTGTAAATTTTGTTTTGGTTTTAAATATCATTTATGTACTATGCCTTATTTTTTATGATCTTAATATATGAAATTTGAGACAGATTACTTAAAAAGCAATAAATAAGTCCTGTTTATGGACAGTTGAAATGCATACTTGTATTACATTGTATTTGGGAATACTTCCTGGGAAAGCTCAGCCTAACTGTATTGCATGCAAATACCCAAACTGAAAGAGAAGAGACAAAAGGCCATCATAGGGTACCAAACATTTTATTCTGTAAGTAAATATCCCTTTATAGTTTCTTTCTTTCTTTTTTTAAGATTTTATTTACTTGATGGGATCCCTGGGTGGCGCAGCGGTTTGGCGCCTGCCTTTGGCCCAGGGCGCGATCCTGGAGACCCGGGATCGAATCCCACGTCGGGCTCCCGGTGCATGGAGCCTGCTTCTCCCTCTGCCTGTGTCTCTGCCTCTCTCTCTCTCTCTCTCTCTCTGTGACTATCATAAATAAATAAAATAAAAAAATAAAAATAAATAAAAAATAAAAAAAAAAGATTTTATTTACTTGAGAGAAAGAGATTTAGTGAACCTGAGCAGGGGTGTGGCAGAGGAAGAGGGAAAAGGAGACTCCTGCTGAGCAGGGAACCCAACTCAGGGCTCCATCCCAGGACTCTAGGATCATGACCTGGGCTGAAGGCAGATTCTTAAATGACTGAGTCATTCAGGCGCCCCCTCCTTATAGTTTGCTTCTTTTTTTAGGATTTTATTTTTAAGTAATCTCTATACCCAACATGGGGCTCAAACTCAGAACCTCTAGATCAAGAGTCCACATGTTCTTCTGACTGAGCCAACCAGGCACCCCTATATTTATATAGTTTTTATATTGGCAAAATGTTTTTTTAAGGATTACTTTTTTTATAAGAGTTCTTTATTTATTTTAGGAGGAGAGAGAAAGAGAGCATGAGTGCAAACGGGGTGGGGGGGAATAGGGAGAGGGGTAGACACCCTGATGAGCTCAAGAGCCCAGTGTGGGACTCAGTATCATGACCCAACATCATGACCTGAGCCAAAAGCAAGATTCAGACATTCAACCAGCTGAGCCACCCAGGTGTCCCAAGGATTGCTCTTTAAAGTAGTCTTCTCAAAGACATTCTCACTGTAGATTAATAGCTCCACCTCAGACCCTCTAAATCATGATCTGCAGGTGGGTCTCAGGTTCATGCACTTTAAACACTCCCCTCCCACCCCATCCCTGCCAATTTATTATTCACCATTGAAAAACAATGCTTGAGGGGCACCTGGGTGGCTCAGTCAAGCATCTGCCTTCGGTTCAGGTCATGATCTCGGGGTTTTGAGATGAAGCCCCTCGTCAGGCTCTGTATTGGGCAAGGAGCCTGCTTGGGATTCTCTCTCCCTCTCCCTGTGCCCATCCCCTACCCCTGCTTGAGCTCGCTCACTTGCTCTCTCCCTCAAAAACAAAGAAAGAAAACAAATACTCTAGAGTATATGATACTGTCCATTATAATACACTAATCACAGCTGATGAGATTATTTGTTAGTTGTTGAGCTTTTATAGTTAGTTAATAAATAATTTTGGTTTGGGGGGGCACCTGGATGGCTCAGTCAGTTAAGAGTCTAACTTAAGCTCAGGTCAGTCTTGGGGTCCTGGGACTGGACAGAGACTGAGCAGACTCAGCAGGGAGTCTGCTTCTCCATCTTCTTCTGCCCCTCCCCTACTCATGTCTTTGCTCTCTGTCTCAAATAGGTAATATCTTAAAAATAATTTTGGTTTTTTTTTTTTTTGCATTTTTGCTAAGGACTCAACTGAAGAAGTTCTTAGGAAAATCAGTAAAGAGAGCAAAGCACCTTGCAGAGGAATATGGTGAGCGTGCTGTGAATAAAGTTAAAAGTGTTAGAGATGAAGGTAAGTGAAATAGAACATTACAAATGAATATTTAATTGATTTGTAATCATTCAAATACCTTATAATTTATAAGAAGCATTTTGTTTTATTGAAAGTAAGAAACCTTTTAGCAAACACCTTAGCACTTCAATATATCATGGTACTGTAGGTATCAGTTAATTTTATGAGAGGAAGAAAAATAAATTTGTTCATCTTAAACATGGATTTTTACATATTCTATAACTATGACAACCTGGAAGCGATGAGTATTCATTGATCAGTTTGTAAGCTAGTTTTGTAAGGCTGTTTCATTTTTATGAATATTTTCAAAATTAGGAATATATTCTAAATTTGTTCAATCTTAACTTCCTATGCCTTTGTGGGAATTGTACTCATTTATTTTTCTAATAAGCACTAATACAGTAGTTATTTTGTGCCAGACACTGTTCTAAGCACTTGGACCTGTATTTACTCATTTAACCTTCATAAAAACCTTATGAGGTAAGTACTGTTATTCATTTTATAGATGAGAAAACCAAGGCACAAAAAGGTCCAGTGCTTTGGCTATGGTCATATAGACAAATAAATGGCAGAGCTGGATTTGGACCCAGACAGTCTGGCACCAGATCCCATGTTCTTAACCAATATGCTATTTGGTGTAATAGATACTGCTTTTCCATTTAATGAATTTTCTTGGTGAAGAGTAGATATGAACATATGATAGCTACGTCTACATTAGCTAGTGATGATTTCTATATTGCTTTTCTATTCAGTGTTTCATACTGATCAAGATGATCCTTCATCAAGTGATGATGAAGGAATGCCATATACAAGACCAGTCAAATTCAAAGCAGCACATGGTTTCAAAGGACCTTATGATTTTGATCAGATCAAAGTGGTACAAGATCTTAGTGGTGAGCATATGGTAAGCAACCTTTATTTTTTCAGGATTGACTCTGTTTTCATTGAGAGAAGTATATTGGCTTCTATAAAGCCAATCTCTTAGGTATATAATTTTGCTAACCTGACTCAAGAAGAGTAAATTAATATTAATAATGATTTAATGCCTAGGTAATGCAGTCTATTTCTGGATTATTCAAGAACTGAAAGGTTTTTTGTTTTGTTTTGTTTTTAATTTTAGTTCATTAACATACAGTACAATATTGGTTTCAGGAATAAGAGTTAAGTGATTCATCACTTACGTACAACACCCAGTGCTCATGACAGCAAGTGCCTTTTTATTACTCATTACCCATCTAGCCTATCCCCCACCCACCTCCCTCCATCAACCTTCAGTTTGTTCTCTATTCAAAGTCTTATGGTTTGGGATACCTGGGTGGCTCAGTCAGTTGAGCATCTGACTCTTGATTTCAACTCAGGTCATGATCTCGGGGGTTTTGGGATTGTGTTTGGGCTTTGCACTCAGCAGGGACTCTGCTTGAGATTGTATTTTTCTCTCCCTCAGCCCCTCCCTCCACTCATGTGTGTTCTCTCTCTCTCTCTCTCAAATGAATGGATAAATCCTTTAAAAAAATCTCTTATGCTTTGTTTCCCTCTCCTTTTTCCCCCCCACTTCCCATATGTTCATCTGTTTTGGTTTTTATTTTTATTTTTTATTTTTTATTTTTTTAAATTTATTTATTCATGAGAGACACAGAGAGAGAGAGGCAGGGACACAGGCAGAGGGAGAAGCAGGCTCCATGCAGGGAGCCGGAGCCTGACATGGGACTTGATCTGGGGTCTCCAGGATCACACCCTGGCCTGAAGGCGGCGCTAAACCGCTGAGCCACCAGGGCTGCCCTGTTTTGGTTTTTAAATTCCTTGTATGAGTGAAATCATATTGGTATTTGTCTTTCTCAAATTGGCTTAATTTTCCTTAGCATTATACATTCTAGCTCCATCCACGCCATTGCAAATGGCAAGATTTCATGCTTTTTGATCACTGGGTAGTATCCCATTGTGTGTGTGTGTGTGTGTGTGTGTGTGTGTGTGTGTGTGTGTGTGTAAAGTATATATATATACTTTAAAATCTTTAGAAGATTTTATTTATTTATTCATGAGAGACACACACACAGAGAGAGAGAGAGAGAGAGAGAGAGAGAGAGAGGCAGAGACACAGGCAGAGGGAGAAGCAGGCTCCTCGCAGGGAGCCCAACGTGGGACCCGATCCCGGGTCTCCAGGATCAGGCCCTGGGCTGAAGGTGGCGCTAAACCACTGAACCACCTGGGCTGCCCTATACCACATCTTCTTTATTCATCATTCAGCAGTCAGTGAACATTTGGGATCTCTCTGTAGTTTGGCTATTATTGATAATGCTATAAACATCAGGGTTCATGTACCCCTTTGAATCTCAATTTTTGGATCCTTTGGGTAAATACTTAGTAATGGAATTGCTGGATCATAGGGTAGTTCTATTTTTAGGTTTTTGAGAAACCATTCTCCAGAGTGGCTTCACCAGTTTACATTCCCACCAGCAGTGCAAGAGGGTTCCCTTTCTCTGCATCCTTGCCAACACCTGTTGTTTCTTGTGTTGTTAATTTTAGCCATTCTGACAATTGGGAGGTGGTATGTCATCATGGTTTTGATTTGTATTTCCCTGATAATGAGTGATATTGAGCATCTTATCATGAGTCTTACCCATCTGGATATCTTTGTAAAAATGTCTATTCATGTCTTTTGCCCATTTCTTAACTGTGTTATTTGCTTTTTTTGGGTGTTGAGTTTGATAAGTTCTTTATATATTTTGGATACTATCCCTTTATCAGGTACTTCATTTGCAAATATCAAGAAGTGAAAGTTTTTGAATTTTTGTAAATTTTAGTTATTTGAGAGAGAAAAAGCCTGATCACAGTAAGGGGTGCAGAGAGAGAGAGAGACAGGCAAAACAAGCAGACTCCCTGCTGAGCCAGGAGCCTGACATGGGGCTTAATCCCAGAACCCTGGGATCATGACTTGAGCCTAAGTCAGACTCCTAACTGACTGAGCCACCCAGGCATCCCTCAAGAAGTGAAAGTTATCGAATAAGTAAACTCTAGGCCTGTATCATTAAGAAAGCTGTATAAAGGTAACAAACTTTAAAGCAGTTAAATTTACAGGGTGGTCTGTGTCTTTAGAAGACATTTAAAATGCTTCCTGGGCATATCTTTAAGATATTTTATTTTATTTTATTTTATTTATTTATTTATTTACTTATTTATTTATTTTCAAGATTATTTATTTATTTTTTGAGAGAAAGAGCAAGCAGCGGAAGGAGCAGAATAAGAAGGAGAAGCAGACTCTGCTGAGTACTGAGCTCGATGTGGGGCTTGATCTCACTATCCAGAGTCATGACCTGAGCCAAAATAAAGTTTTATGCTTAACCAACTGAACCATCCAGGTGCCCCTCCCTGAGTGTATTTTAAATAATTAACACAAATATTGCAGTAGGTCAGTGTATTTTGTCAAATGGCAGCTAAAACCAGGGAAGACAGGTACATGTTTTCTACCAGAGTTAAAATGTACCACAGTAGTTATAAAGTGCACAAGTGATATTGTAGGTTACCCCTTGAAAATGCTAGGAACATACAGGGAAGGTGGTAATAAACTCCTAGATTGGACAGATGATGCTATGAGTTTTTGATCAGGGAATCTGTATCTATTTAGATTTTATTTTATTTTATTTATTTTTAAAAATATTTTATTTATTTAGATTTTAAATCCAAAATTTGGCTTAACTAGAAGGAAACAACTGTAAACATATTAGATGGCAGCCAGATTAGAATTTAGACTTTGGTGCTTATGATCTCCACATAAAATATTTGATTCTGGTAACTTCCTTGAGGAATTTCCTTGTACTGTTTTGATTCACTTTCATTATTTCCAGTTTTAAATAAAGTCTCATTTTAGTAGGCTCCCAATAACAAATTTCTTAATATACTGGAATTTTGTGGAAATGAACGTTATTTCAGTAAATGAGCTGTTGCCTCTAACTTGGATAATCTTTTTTTAAGTTTATTTATTTTTAGGTAATCTCTACACCCAACATAGGGCTCAAACTCATGACCTGGAGACCAAGAGTTGCATGGTCTCCCAAATAAGTAGGCACCCCATAACTTGGATAATCTTTTTGATCTGCATAGATATGTGTTATAATAAAATAGTAGTTTTAACAGTATTTGTTGTAATAGATTTGGTTTTTCCAATGTAAGGGTTCACGTTCTTTAATCACCCCACCCCCACCCCCCAACACATACATACTTCTCTGTGTTAGCAGTATCTGGGAATTCTTTTTTTAAAATATTTTATTTGAGAGAGAGCAAGCATGAGTAGGGGGGAGGGGCAGAAGGAGAGGGACAAGCAGACTCTCTGCTGAGCAGGAGCCTGACCTGGGGCTCATCCTAGGACCCCAGGATCACGATCTGAGCTGAAGGCAGGTGTTTGAGCCACCCAGGTGCCCAGTATCTGGGAATTCTAACCATATACTGTGAAACATTGTTTCTAGGGAGAAAAAAAAACAGGATGAGACCACACCATTCCAACACTTTATAAATGCCCAATGCAATGAAAGTCACTGCTAATGTGAACTTCTATTTCCCTCAGCTCTGATCAAGAGTATCAGTGGTATCCTGAGGCTCTGTCTCCTCTGATGCCACTCCCCCTTATGTTCAGCTAGGAGACTGAGATTTTATTTGTGTTTTTACAATGATTTCTGGCCACCTCGGAACTCCATTTCCTTTAATTTGTAGACAAGACTTGTGCTTTGACCTTGTTAATTTAGATTATGGTAAAATGCTGCTTTCTTATCCTGCTTTTCTCCTAAAAGTTCCTCTTTGTGCTGTTGCATCATTGAACTGTTGGCCTCAGGTCATATCAGAATGTGAGCATTATCTTAGGATGTATAATTTGGAATAATTCTTTACTTTGGCTTTAAAATAATGTTTCAACTCTTAGGGGTGCCTGGCTGGCTTAGTCGGTAGAACATGCAACTTTTGATCTCAGGCTTATAAATTCAAGCCTCATATTGGGTGTAGTGATGACTTAAGAATAAAATCTTTAAAAAAAAGGTTTAGGGGCACCTGGCTGGCTCAGTGGTTGAGCCTCTGCCTTTGGCTCAGGGCATGATCCAGAGGTCCTGGGACTGAGTCCCACATCAGGCTCCCTGTAGGGAACCTGCTTCTCCCTCTGCCTATGTCTCTGCCTCTCTCTGTGTGTCTCTCATGAATAAATAAAGTCTTTGAAAAAAAAGTTTCAACTTTGTAATAACTTTTTTTTAATTGGAGTTCGATTTGCCAACATATAGTATACCATCCAGTGCTCATTCCATCAGATGCCCCCCTCAGTGCCCATCACCCTTTGTAATAACTTTGAACCTTTCTTTGTTTTCATAGGGAGCTGTGTGGACCATGAAATTTTCTCACTGTGGCCGATTACTTGCCTCAGCTGGACAAGATAACGTAGTGAGAATATGGGCTCTAAAAAATGCTTTTGACTATTTCAACAATATGAGAATGAAATACAATACCGAAGGTATTTTTCATTCACCTGTGGGCTTTAAAACTCTAGAGACATCTCTGTTATTTTTACATTTTAGGTATAATAATGTCTTTCTCTGGCAACCATTTGCAATAACCACTACTTTTCATAATGGTCACAAACCTAAAAGTAGCACAGAAGTCAACACCAAAAAAAGCATATAAATCCCATGGAAAATACTACCATAAAGCTTTTGACTTTATCCCTTTTGAAGTGTAGTGCAGAGTTTATTTCATCAGCTGTTGAGAACAAAGTTACTTGGTTTCCCCTGACAACCTTTAGTTCTCCCCTGGCTTAAAATGAAATGACCTAATTAATCTAGAAAAAGAATGAAAATAATAATATCCATCTAATAAGTAAAGAAAGCTAAAGGAGACCCATCTATGAAAAGGAAATGTGATTTGCCAGTACATTAGAGGTATATGAAAAAGAGGTTAAACGGCAGAGGGAAACCTCAGAATGTGATACATGTACACGTGATTACAGCTATGTAAACTAGTTCTGTGTTGATAACTTACCAGGAGAGTTAGAATTGATGGAAATGAGAGTTTTATGTTTATGGGTTCCTTTTCTTATAATTGTTTAACTTCAATAAATTTTGTTCACAAACCCCTTCCTTTCACTCCCATCCTCACTCCGGTCAACCAGGGCTGAAACCAAGAAGTTAAGGGATGGGAGAAAGAATAAGTGGCCATGGGCTGGAGTATAGAGTATATTTGAAGCACCAATTTGAGGAATATAGAAATCTAGGAAGATCCACTAAACTGGCAAATGAGGCCTCATATACTTTAGTGGTCCTGTGGGTATAGCTTGCATTGTGTTGTACATAATTTAAGATGATAATGGGTTCGCAAAAAGTTAAACTATGTTTACATTTCTTTTATTGCCCTGCCTGGAGCAGAAAGACGTTTTTAGTGGCCATTGAAACTTACACCACCCCAGGCCCTTTGTGCCTTTATTGTTCATCTTGTTTGTATTCACTATGAATAATGAGGATTTTAAAATATTTTATTACATTGGTGATACAGTTATAAAGATGTTATGATAAAAATGATAACCAATATTTTGATGGCCAAAGAATTAATGCTTCACTTATTTAGAAAATGTGTTTTTTCAGAATGTTACATTATATGACTATTAATTAGGTGTTGCTGTATCATTATTTCTGATTGATGTTTTGTGTAAGTGTGTTTACATACGTTTTTATAATTATTATATTGTTTTTAGGACGTGTGTCCCCATCCCCTTCTCAGGAAAGTCTGAATTCATCAAAGTCTGATACAGATACAGGGGTATGTTCAGTATTTTCTGATTACTATTGTTAAGTGCTATAATTTGATTTGTTTACCATGAAGTACCTTATTGTCTAGCAGCAATTATAGTTACATGAAAGCAGTAAATTAAGATACATTAGAAACAAGAGTTTCTTCTTTTAGAATTGGTAAATGAAAAATTGTGGTATTTAAAAGCTGTCATACAGTGGATGATACTATTCCAGCTACTAAACTAGTAATGCAAATTTGAATTAAACAAAATCCCCTCCCCTCAAATCCATGTTACAATTTAAAAAAACATTGGATACTGAATAAGGGGTGATTAAGAAAAGAAAAAAGATATTGAAATATTTTAATTTTTCTTATTGGTTTAATAAATATTTTATGACAGTTTCAGGTAGTTTAAAATATCTTAATGATTTTCATTTGATCTGATAGCTGGAAGGTTAAAAATAACCAATGTTAAACCTAAAAAGCAAAATGGAGAATATTTTTCTAAGCTGTTCCCTGTGCTCCTTGTGTATTGATCTAGACAAGGGTGATGTAAACAAAGAACCTAAAATGTTCACCTGCTCAACAGTATTTACCTGAAATTTCATTGTCTCTATAGTATTTGACATATTCCTCTCAGCTTTCTATGGTTCTGTTATTCCTTGTTCTCTTCCTACACCCTTGCTGTCTCTTTCTTCCACTTAAATGGTGTTGTTTTTCAGGGTTGTATCCTTGCCCATCCTTATTTGACATATTCATTTGTTGCCTCAAGTGAATTGGCTCTACCTTCATAATTCTTGTTTCCATTGAATAGTTTTATGGGTTTTAAACAATAAGATATTATTGGGCATGCTACCCTTTTCATGTAGCAGTATTTATAGAATCTCTCTGTCAGTGTATTCACCAAGCACATCAATTAATAGGTCTAAAATTGAATTCCCTCAGCAAATATTTTTTGAGTGCTTGTTACGTGTGCCAGATACTGCTAGATTCCGCAGTCAAATGAGACATAGTCTTTGCCCTCAGAGACTATGCTGACTCATGAAATAGATACATTCACAATTCTAGTATTAGATGGTAATATTCTATAGAAGGTACTACCCAAGTATAGGAGTTATCTTTACAAATCAGAGCATGAGGGAAAATCTTCCTGGAGGCTTTGTTTGTGAGCCAGGAGTTAAGTGTGTGAGAGAAGGAAGAAAGGAAAGCATCACAGTGAACAGCCAGTGGAAAAGCCTGGAGGCTGAAACAGGATGGCATGTTAATGGTGCTACCCGAAGTCCCGTGTTGCTAGAGTAGAGCAGGCATGTGTTAAGAGTTGGAGGAGAGGAAGGCAGGATTAGGATTTTAAATGGCCCTTTGTGTTAAACCAAGATATTTGGACTTTGTCCTGCAAGCTATGGGTCGTCCTGGAAGCTACGGGTCGGGGGGAGGAGGGGAGAGGTCCTGAGAGGTTTCAGTCAGGAGCTTAGTTAAAACGTTCAGATTTTTGTTTCAGGAAGAGCATTCTGGTAAACCCTGTAAAGCATCAATTAGATGGGGTCCAGGCTACAGAGAGAGAGACCATTTAAAAGGTTATTAACCCAGGAGAGAAACAAATACTTTATGAAACAGTGGGTCTAGAAACTATAACGGTGAGCTAATTTGAGAGATGTAGAAGATGTAGGATCTCTGGCACTTGGTGATGGACTAGCTGGGGTTGTTGGTGAGTAGCCTAGGATTATCCCCAGCTGGCTGGCTTCAGTAACTGGCTTAGATATTAATGGTCACTCATGTAAATATTTATATTACCTACCCACAGCCCTGCTTCTCTCTTTTGAGCCTTCTTTAATGGCATCATTATCCATAAGTTACATTTCTAACTCCATCAGAAAATACTCCATTACCTTTTTTTCCTTACTTTTTTAACTCCATCAGAAAATACTTACTTTTTTCCTTACCCACATATCAAATTAGTTATACATTTCTATCTACTCTGCCTACAAATCCCCATGGAATCTGTCCCCTCATTCTCCATTGTCACTCACATATCTCAGCCCTCAATGTTGATTGAGATGTTTGCTATAGCCTCCTAATTGCTTTTTCTGTCTCTGGTCTCTACCCAATTCATTTTCTATACTACCATTAGCTTTTTTCCCAAAATCCAGATCTGATGCCATTTTGTGGTTTAAAATTTTTTGATGGCTTCTTGTCACCTACAGAATAAGGCCCTTCCTGATATTGCCTCATTTTACCTTTATATGTGTGTGTGTGTTTGTGTGTGTATGTATATTTTATGATAGTAAATGCAAATTTTTAAAAAGACTTTCTCTATTAGAGAGTGCAAACATGAGCTGGAGGAGGGGCAGAAGAAGAAGCAGACTCCCCGCTGAGCAGGGAGCCTGATGTGGGGCTCTTTCCCAGGACCCCAGGATCATGGTCTGAAATGAAGGTAGAGGCCCAACCAGCTGAGCCACCCAGGCACCCTGTCATCTTACCTTTTTTTTTTTTTAAGATTTATTTAGTCATGAGAGACACAGAGAAAGAGAGAGAGGCAGAGACACAGGCAGAGGGAGAAGCAGGCTCCATACAGGAAGCCCGACGCGGGACTCGATTCCGGGACTCCAGGATCACGCCCTGGGCCGAAGGCAGGCACCCAGGGATCCCCCTCATCTTACCTTTTTAACTCAGTTCTAATTCCCTGGTGCCTGTGCACCCTGCTCACCACACTAGACTTAGGTCTGTCTGTACCCTAACCATTATTTCACTTTCATTGCCTTTGTCTGCTGTTTGCTTTGCTCACAGTGCCCTCCCTGTCCCCTTTTCTCACAGGGCAGAACTCTATTCATCCTTCAAGATTCAGTTCAAAAAGGAAAAAAAAAGATTCAATTCAAATATCTTATCTTCTCTCATTATTTTCCCTGAGTCAGGCAGGCAAAATTGTTCCTCATTTGTGTTCCAACAAAACGTTACAGATACTTTGACACTGATATCACTACTGTGTGTTCTTTGGCAATTTTTCTCACTGACTAGACTCTGGGCTGATTTAAGGCAAAAATCTGTACTATGGATTTTAGTGCCCTTGGAACCTAACCGCATGCCTGACTGTGGTGGGCCTGAATCGGTTTTGAATTCCTGTTTCTGTGCCTTTGTTCCTGTCCTCCTTATCTGGATGCCTGTAACCTCCCTTCTTTCTATTCAAAGTTTGCCCTTTCTTTAAGGCTCACTTCCTCTATAAGGCCTTCACTGACTAATGTAGTGGTAAAAAATTTAACCACTTTGCTTTAGAGAGAAGGTTTTGCTTTTATTAGTTTAATTCACCATAAATCTTACAGGCATTGACTACTATTAAAAACAGGAACTATTTATACCATCTTGTATTATACTTATTTCAACAGTCCTACTAACCGATTTTTTAATGTATTTCTAAAGATTTCATTTATTATTTATTTTAGAGAGATCGTGTGAGTTGCAACGGGGGGTGAGGAGCAGAGGGAGAGAGAGAATATACCAAGCAGAGTCTGTGCTGAGCTTGGAGCCCTATGCAGGTCTCAATCCCATCACCCTGAGATCATGACCTGATTGAGATGAAATCAAGCATTGGAATCTCAACTGACTAAGCCACCCAAAAGCCCCCCTACTGACAGATTTTTTTAAGATTTATTTATTTATACTTACATACATACATACATACATACACACACACACACCTGGGTGGCTCAGTGGTTGAGCATCTGCCTTTGACTCAAGGCATGGTCCCAGGTCCCAGGATCAAGTCCCATATCAGGCTCCCTACAGGGAGCCTGCTTCTCCCTTTGCCTATGTCTCTGCCTCTCACTGTCTCTCATGAATAAATGAATTAATTAAAAAAAAGATTGATTTGACAGAGCATGAGAGAGCACAGCAGGGGGAGTAGCAGGAAGAGGGAGAGGGAGAAACAGTCTCCCTGCTGAGCAGGGACCCCAATGCGGGTCTCAGTCCCAGGACCCTGGGACCATGACCTGAGCTGAAGACAGATACTTAACTGGCTGAGCCACCCAGGCACCCCCATATTCTTAACTACATCTGTCCACCCTTACCTCATTTCCCCCTCCCCCCAAAAAACCTAAGTAATTCCTAAGCTTGTTTGAATACAGGCCTTTTTTAAAAAGATTTATTTATTTGATAGATTGTACACAAGTCTGTGGTGTGGGAGGGGCAGAGGGAGAAGAAGAAAGAAATTCAAGCAGACTCCATGCCAAGCACAGAGCCTGACTGGGGGCTCAGTCTCACGACCCTGAGACCACAACCTGAGCCAAAACCCAGAGTCAGTCACTCAACCAACTGTGCCACCCAGGTGCCCAAAATACAGGCTTTTAAAATGAGGAGCATAGTAATTCTTTGATACAAAAAGTAGTGACCCCCTGGAGTGTTGAGGTTTTTTTTTTTCCCATAGTAGTTGAATATCGTTTATATCTGTTGTTTTCAGGAAAAGATTGGTGTTTCTTTCACTTCTGTCATTTTGTTAGGGGGTGGTTAGAAGAGGCCTCGATTTCATATGCCTTTGGAGTATGATATCTGATATTATCTTTTATCATAGCACTAGCTACAGTGAGGGGCAGTATATACAGTGTATTCACTGATTTATTTTCCTGATGTGTGTGTTTTTTTTCTTTTCTCATGATAGTGATATACTTATCTCTTCTGGACTACATCCTCACTCTTGTTAGCATTCATGTAAAATAGAGTACCTAGAATTACCTATACTATGGCTGGGCATAGAGAATGACACACCCAAGATCCCTAACCTCTTCATTGATCATGCCAAGCCTAGAATTCTGCCTATTATGCTCTCTCCATTCCTATTGATTTCCAAAAGTAGCTCAGTAAATGTATGGAAGAAAGGAAGAGGATGTGCTGAGTTTGCTCCAGTATGGTAGAGATTTGTAAAATTTCTGCTTGAAACTAGAAGTTGTAACTATGCTGTTTATATAGGAATTGGTGCTTTTCTTGGGTTAAATCTATGTTTGGTGTGCTTGATTAGTGGAACATTATTATGGGTGTTACAG